GACATAATTCGGATTGGTTTGTATATGAAAGATAATTATGCCCGCAAGAATGCAGAATATGTTATTATGAATCCCTTGTTTTGTGAATTTGTACATATTGACATAACCTTGTTCAAAGTAAAGTCTTTAAGCTCAAAATAGCTATCAAGTGTCACTGTTTAATTTCAATTTGCTTGAGGACAAGCAACAGTTCAAGTGTGTGAGAGTTTGATGACACCAAATTACATTGTTTATTTGACTCGATTTACGCATGTTTTATTGTTATTTTGTTTTACATTTCCATTATTATGATGGCATTTTTTTATTTTCAGGTATTTAGCCATTTAAGAGTCACATGCGAAGAAACGAAGCAAAACAGACGTAAAACGTAAGAAATTGAGCAGCTTGCACTCAAGGCAACCACCATGACATTCACCATAGGGGTTGCCATGATGTATCAACGCACCAGCGGTCATAAGACCAAGTCATGCCCATTTTGTGAAGGTGGCGTTCACCACAAGGGGATGGCGTTTGCCATCCATTAATTTTTTCAACGGTTACAAAATGGTTTGGCTTGAACTCTCATTATCTCCACTTTCTCCAACTTCCCATTATCTACACTACTTCTCACATGAATTTTAAAGTAATTTCCACTAGTTTTCACTATATAAAGAACTTAGCATTCATTTTTCAAGGATCCAAGTTTTTATGCAATTTATTCTTTCATAGTTTTAGGCATAAATTATCATTGTAAAAGTAGTAGTTTTCTCACATCAGGGAACTACTACACCATTAGTGTTTAGATTTATAATTTATGTAATGCTTGGATCAAACAATCTTGCTGCCATTTTTTGAAGTTCTTATTTCAGTTTTATATTCCAGTTCTTATTCCAGGTTTATTTACTTTTATCCCAATTTATTTTTTGCCTTTACTAGCCTCACCTTTATTTCCTTGCAATTTTATTTACCTGCAATTTACATTCTTCGCAATTACTTTCCTCGCCTTTATTTCCATGTCTTTACTTTCCTCGCAACTTATATTTCAAAAACCACTTTTATCAAATTTTCCATTATGTTTAATCATGTATTCCAATCAATTGTTTATTTGTTTACCGTAACTAGGTTCGCCTAATTTGTTAGTTTTGGAATGTGAGGACCGTCATTTGATGGTATCCTATATGTTATTTCTTTAGGATTTCAATTGTGGGTTGTTTTTGTTTTAATGCAATTTTTCTGCACTTGATTTTAATTTGTCACTACGATAGTGGAGCAGTGAAAATGTCGGATAAGATCGAAAGTCGTCTGACACTAAAGACGAAAATTGATTTATTTTTTATTAATAAATATCGTGAAAGCACTTTATTAATTAATTTGGAAGTCTAATATTTCTAGAAAATGATTTTAAAACTATTTGCGAACGCGCCCGTTTATAGCTTTAGGACCGGGTTACCAGAGCAAAGGCTGGGAACTCTTTTAAGATTAAACTTTCTGATCAAAATTACTTTTCTATTGAGTAAAGAGTCTAATTCCTTAAAAATAAGTTTTACAACTTTAACGCAAACAGCGCCTACCACCGTGGCAGTGGATGGTATAATTTAGAGAGTAAAATCTATTTCTAAATACGCGAAAGCGACATTTCCTGTTCAATTAATTCTTTTCAATTTAGAAAATATTGTCCCATAAATAATCCTATTTAGAAATAATAAGAGTATTGTTGATGGATGAGAATCGCATTCCAGCATTATTTGTCCAAATTTATTTATTTCATATCTTCCTATTCTTGATTCAACCGCATTCTAGTATTATTATTAATTACTTCAAGCTTATTATTTCATTTTATTTTCACATTCAAATCTCTTATTAAATTCAAGCGCCTTAGATAAATATCGTAACAATTAGTAACGATAGATTTGACTATTGGTCTCTGTGGGTTCGACACTCTTTATATTACTCTGATATTTTTCATATACTTACGAAATACTCCATAAGAGGACGAAAATCATTTTGAAGGATGATTGGGTTAGAAAGTGTGGAGTATGGATTTTAAACACGGACATGTAAGGTTATGATAGGAACAGGGTTTGATTCATTGTGTTTAGGGTGAGAGGGTGGTGAGGGGGATTCAAAATCATCCATATCTGAATCAGAATCATCTGATGCAGGTGTGTTAGAATTAAACAAAGTAGAATGACACCTAGATGAAGGTTCCTTTTCAGAATCAAATGAGATATCATATATTGAGACTGAAGACTCACTAGACAATAGATGGGTTTCAAGATAGTTTAGAAAAGCAGTGGTTTAGTTAATATGAGAGAAAATGGATTCTAATGTGGTAGGTCGGGTTGAGGTTGAGAAGGAGGAATGAGTGAAACTATATTGTTCTGATAAGGTGTACTGACAGGAGACTTACTAGTAGGTGGTAGAGCAACTTGCAAGGGATCTTTTGTATCAGGAGGATTTTCAGTACCAGAGGTTTAATCCTCACGAACAGTTGATACGTTTCTCTTATTTCTGATAAGAGATTATTCTGGTTCATCAGGAATATCTTCAATATATCCACAAGTTTCAGCATTATCATAAATGCTTATGACAATATGTTTAGGAATCTTTCCTGGAAAATTCACATTAAGTTCCACAATAGTTTGAGGTGACACACTGGAAAATTCTTTCCTCTGTAAGCAATCTTCCAAATGGCAAAGAACAACTTCTGAAGGATCACGAGTTGTAAGCAAGTATTCTCTTTCTATGCTAGGTACCTCAAAGCTATCATCATCTGATATCTCATCCTCTAGAGGATTGATAACAGAAGAGATCAAGTCATAAACTTCAAATTTCTTCCATCAAAAGGTCTTCCATAAGATGTGACTAAAATATTTTCCTCATTCTGATGAGATAAAATTCCACCAATTTGCTTTCAACTAGAATTAATGAGATAAGTCTTCCAAGTGGTATCTAAGTAATGACATTAGAAGACCCATGTCTAGAGCTTCTAATCATATCAGTATTGCAGGAAGATTAATCTTGTTATCATATAACATGAACTTCTCATCATTGTTAATGCAGTCAAGAGCATCTGTTGGAGGTCTATGACAAATGCATACCAGTATGATCTTAGCCCATACTATGAGACTGAGTTGAAGATGTTTGACATACTTGGAACTTTTCTTCTTCTAGAAAATCTTTGATGCAACTTGTCTCATCGTCTTCCTACTCATACTACCTTCATCAAGATTGCAACACGTCTTCCTACTCATACTCTCCGAAGAATTGACGTGTGACGTCATCAGATTGTGGACTCAACACACTGAAGAATACAAGTTTGTGTTTCATATATTAGAATACATCTTAAAGCAACGGTTCTAATGAACATTAGTTGTATTGCTTCTAACTTGGACTCTATTCTAGAGCTTTTGATATGTTCTCAAGCTCTGAATATTCCATGTTCGCTTGCTCAAGTTCTGAAGATTCTAAATACAAGATTTTGTTGAACCACTACAAGAAATTTGCCATTTACCAACGGCAAAAATCCATCGGTAAAAATCCAAACACCATTGATAAAGATTCAAAAACCTATACCAACGGACATTTGCTTCCGTCAACTATAATTTCCTATACCAACGGGAAATTATCATCTCAATAACTTATACTAACGACACCTTTTAAGCGTCTGAAAACATTTTAGAGCTTTGGCAACAGCTAATTACACTATTTAATAACTTTACACATCATGTAGTTCCGCTGGTACAGGAGAAGATTTGCCGTTGGTATAGGACGAGATTTGCCGTTGGTATAGGTCTCTTTTTTTTTACAAATATTACTTTCCTATAATTAATATTTTTTAATAATCTAATTTTATGATTAAAAGCTAACATCAAAGAAAACTTCAATTATATTTTTTAAATAAGAAGTCTTACAAATATATCAAAATACCAAATTAATGTCAATTGTATAATAACAACAACCACTAAAATATATGCTACGACAACATAAACATATATAAGATAAAGGCAGTTTCTAATTTTCTTCTTTTGCATCTTCTTTCGTGCATGACATAATCTCTTTTCAATGACTTGTGCTTCATTAGAAAACCAATGATGAACCAATTCACGATATTGATCTAGTACAAAGGATGCAAATTCTTCTTCCATTTTACTTGGGTCAAATGCCTATGTTTTTAAATCACACTTCCATTGTTTAGTGTGTGAGCTCCTGTTCACGGCTTATAACAAATAAAATTATAAAGTCAAAACAACTTCAATCCAATTGTATAAGTGAATGATACTCGTGTTGACATTTTCACATTCAAAAATAAATTTAAGAACAAATTATGAGATATAACATGATTATATGTAATATTGGAATTATCTAAATAACTACATGACTATATATAATTATATAGCATAAAAATAAAAATGAAGAAAGCTATATCTATCTGAATAAATGTTTATGGCTATGAGTATTTCCAAAACACCACCTAATTTACTAGTAGCTCATTGCAAAACATGCACCAATCTCATTGAAAATACATGATTATATGTAATTATACTTTCATAATACAAACAAAGAGAAGATATGAGTAAGATAGTTTACATGGAAGCAAGTAGAATTTCATAAGGCAGAACACCACCTAATTTACTAGTAGCTCATGATGATGATGGGAAATAGAAGTCAAAACAACAAAGAAATGGTGGAACAAAACCTTGGACATTAGAGAGGCCAAAACCACTTTATAGTATTCTCTCATCTTGTCACTAACTCATGGTTACCGCAGTCTGCATCTCTTAATTATATATATTATAGTTTAACTCGACTTTTAAAAATAAAATCATGGTTATCAACAATTCAACATCATTCATGAATGTAAGACCATAAAAAGTATAAAATCATTAAATTATATGCACTAATACCTGAAACATGAAATATAATAGCATCTAACAAGACTATGGACTTGGATTGATTTATGTTGGCATCGACCCACCTGCCTCAAGCTATTATAACTCTTCAGTACGCCTTAATAACATTCAATTTATATTCCTACAAGACCATTATACCAAACTCATATCATTAGGAGAAGAGTAATAAGCAAATCAAGACAAAAATATGAATGAAGAATAAAATAGCACATAAGATATCAATATCAACATGTACTCACATAAGAGAATCACCTATAAAAACCAATCTCTTGCCTCTAAACAACTCGAGCAATATATGGTCATCCAACATATTTGTAACACAATAGGTTGAATTACACACATATATTAGCAATTCAACCTAATTGAAGTCACCAAAAAAATTGGGAAACAGATCAATTATAGTAAACTACAAAGTACATTAAAGAACCCCAAAATCAACTAAAAATTTGAACAATGAAAATATATAAAAAATAATATAAATAAGACAAATCATATTGAATCTTAACCAAATAAAAACATTCATCAGCTAGAAAAAAAAAGTCAACTAACTCGACAAAAAAAATTGAACTGGATTGGATACCTTGGCAGGCTGCAACTTTTAGGTTTTCATCTAGTTAATAAAGAGGATAAGAATCTTCATTAACCATTCACCATTAAAAAATTTGTGTTTTTTTTTTTTTATTTCTAAAATTTGAGAAACAAAGGAGGCGGGATTTTAGGGATTTTCAAGAATATGTTGTTTTTTTTCTTGGTTCAAAATTAATAAAAATTTATATGAATGAATAAGGAAAAGGAAGAGGAGTGTTTTAGGCATCTTGCCTATTGCAGACACCTCCAAGCAGAATCCTTCTTCGGAGCCTACCCTTTTAAATTCGTTTGAATACTGTAATCAAATGGAGGACAATGACGGAGCAGTGTTTGTACTTGCACCAATAGCCTCAAAAATCAAAATGGAATGGTGAGACAAAATGGCCCTACCACTCTCGCTGCAAATGACAGGGTGCTTCACATTCCTACGATCACATGCATACTTCAGCATACTCTTCTAAACCATAAGCAACAGATAGATCAGAATCATCAGACTTTGAACCATCATAATCAATTCCCAGACCACCCCCAATATCCAAAACTTTCATCTGGGCACCCAAATGAAGCAATTCACAATAGATATGAGAAGCTTCTCCAACACCATCAGCAAGCAACTGAGTTGTGGTAATTTGAGAGCCAATATGAAAATGCAACAATTAGAGACAACCAAGCATATCTAATTGTTCAAGCTTCTTCACCACATGCAAAATATGAAATGTTATTAAACCAAATTTACCTTTATCACCAGAAGTTGCATCAAAATGGCCAAAATGCTTGGTCTTCATCTTTGCACAAACACCAATCACAGGACGAATGCAGAGCTTGTTGTTGATCTCAAGCACCATATCAAGCTATTCCTCTTGCTCAAGAATAAAAACAGAGTTTTAAGCCAGCTTCCTCGCAATAAAAGCAGAGAAATGTATTCACTGTCTTTGAAGCCATTGCAAACCAGAAAGGCTTCTTTGTTGCCTTTACACAAACAGCTCATAGCCAGAAGCAATTTGGGCTTCGATCCAGCTTCTTACCCAAATTCAACTATGTCCTCAACAACATACCTATCCTGGTTACACTTCACTAGATAAACACCTTGGTAATGAGATTCATACCCTTGCGATTGAATTTCACCATCAAAAGCAGCAAGGATAGACTCAAGACGATCCTTCAAAACATCAGGAAACCGAACAACAAGAGGGAGCTGTAACTAGAGTCCGACACAACTTTTCGGATCGGGGGCTTTTTTCACAGCCTTGAGCAAACCAATTTACTTGCGAGACATCGTCACCGAGCCATGTGGCCAAATGGAGATGTCACCGGCAGACTTAACAGCAGTACCAACATCGTCGGTAACTGATGTCGCGGCCGAAAATGTGAACGGCAACGAAAGAGTGAGGTTAGCCTGGGGCTCTGTTGCGTTGGTGATAAAGTCGTAGAAGGAAAAGAGACTTTGATATGTTAGGTTTTGATATTTTTAATTTTTTATTTTATTATTATTTATTTGGGGAATTGAAGAATAACAAAAATTAATAAGGAGGGAAACATCCCGGGTACTAAATTTCGCAAGGGTTAAAAAAGCAAAGTCATATTTTGAAGATTCTGAAGATCAACTGTTCTCTAGATCATTTTTTAAAGATTTTGAAGATAATATATGTTGAACGAAGTTCTGAAGACTCTAAAGAAAATTTTATGAAAATTCAGAAGACCAAGTGCTGAAGACTCTGATGACATGGTTCTAGAGACTTGGCTTTGAACCTTCTACGCGTGCTTCAACCATTATACATCGAGAAGCCTATGAAGATTAGAAGAGAAGATCAAAAGGGTTCATGTGGGTGATAGTATAAGGTACAACATATCTTCTCCTCCACTATGCTATTTTTGCGGCGCAAGGACAATACTATTGTACGAGGTTGTCTACCACTCTCACTGACTGTTGCAAGAAGACAACTAGAATTTTGGTATTCCTATTCTATCCTCCAATTGATTTTTTTTTTTTGCTATAAAAATAAGACTTTGAAGAATTGAAAATGTTGAAGAACTTTGAAGAAACTCACGCTGATTCAAGTTGCTGAAATGCTGCCAAAATAACTCTGTAAATTTTTGGAAAGTGAGGAGTTGTTGCTCATTAACTTGTTAGCAAGGAACTTTTATTCATTAATTTTCTTAACACTTTTGTGTTATTATTTGTACTTGAATCTTGTGTAATCTGTTTTTGAGAAGCAATCTTGTAAACACAAAAAATTATATTCAACAGTGAGTTGATAGTTCCTTGAGTGACTAAGTGTTAGTCTGTAGACTCAATAAGTCATTGACAGTTGGTCTTGAGAGACTAGAGATCTAGTCAGGATTCTGAAGAAGACATTGACATTTGATCTTTGTGGTTTGCAACAGTGACGGTTAGTCTTGTTGTGGTTCTGTAATCAGTTTGATTATAGTGGATTAAGTCCTTATTGAGAAGGTGAAATCACCTTGACAGATGAACTAGATTAACTTCGTTAACAGCGAACTAGGATAAAAATAATTTTGTTCATTTATTTTTATTCTTCTGCTAAGAGTTGGTGTTTGAGTTTCGGGAAATTTTATTTTGAGAAACCATATCCAAACTCCTCTTTCTTGTGTTTCTTGCACCTTCAAACTGGACAATAGAGTTTTCAGTGATGCAGATATTCATTTCAACCACACACGTTGAGATTTTGTGTCTTGATTCTTGAGCCATAATCTAAAATTGCTTTACTAGTTCAGGATACACTGGTCCATTGAGAAGGTGAAAGAACATTCTCAAATCCTAAAGATCCACTTCTTCGATAAGATCATACTTGTTGAAATGCAATTTAGTCTTAAAAAGTATTTTATATCGTCTCCACAGGGATTGATGTGAAACTAGTGTCGTTTCACAGTTACTAATCTTTTAAGTTAAATTTCATAAGGGTCGTTATTGAAAAAGGTTTCATTTGCATTGCACAAACAGTAAAAGAGTTTAGGTTTTAACGGTAAAAAATACATGTCATGATTAGATTTCATTAACATATGTATCATATTAATCGATCATGTGAACTTGTTTATGATTATTATAATCATGCATCCTCTTAATACCGTTTATCTCTAAAGAGATACCGTGAATATTATCGTATTAATTTCTAGATGATGTTTCATGCTAAGAATCAACACAATAATCTTAGAGCTTGATATAAGTGAATATCAACTCACAAATTCATGTCTAGAGTTTGTTCAGTGACAGATGAGTACCTTAGGTTAAGGTTTAAAAAATACCTTTCAATAGTGATTCAAATCAAAAATAACAACGAAAGCAAAAATATTAATCTATAGTGATCAAAAATTTCTATGCATTTTCATTGAAATAGGCACAATTGTCGGGGACTCTGTCGATTTTAACCAATTTTAGAGGCATAGGAATTGCGTTTCTGCATTTCTGGCATTTACGCGACCTAACATAAAAAACTCGATTTTCTAGAAAATCGATTCTGAATCGAAATTTAACCGTGCAAATTCTTCGTTTTTCTATTTTATTTGATTTATTTTCCGTTTTCATATATTTTTTTTAAAATCCAAAAAAAAAATTGTAAACACTTAAATTGATTTTATTTAATTTTTAGTTGTATTTTTAGATTTTTATTTTGACCATTTTTCTATTTTCCAATTGTTTTCCTTAATAGAGAGATTATTGATATTTACATATTTGTTGTATTGCTCATACATGGCTACTAGGTGTGTGTCTATTCAGATACATCAAATATTAAGTTAAAAAATACAACAGATAATTTTTCGGATATACATATCCTAACATACCATATTTTATTAAAAAAATAAGATTTATTCGGATATGCATATTCAAACATCTCTTTTTCGTAAAAAAAATGTTTATTCGAATATGCATCTCTTAAATTAAATATTTTATAGAAAAATGATGCGTTCAAAGATGTATCTCCAAAAATATAGAGTATTTTTAGAATTTCGATAGAGACTTATGAAAAATATATATGAGTGCAATGAAAAATTGTCATAATATTATATTAGAATATTATAAATCCTAAGTTGTAAAATAAGATGTGTCATCCTATTTAAATTATTTTCAAATTATATCTCTTATCATTACGTGCAACATGAGATTTTTTCAATAAAATTAATTATATTTTGCATGTGATTAATTAAGTGTTGTTGGAGTGTAAAAAAAGTGTACATGTATCCCTTCCTTCAATTTTTTAATTAAAACAAAAAGAATTTTTAAAAATATGTCATTGCAAAATTAAAACTAATATTATAATTGTGTGATTTAACTATAAAAAATTGACATTTGTTATTATTTTATCTTATTTTCATTATTTTTTTTGTTCATAATAGTCGTTGTTTAAAAAAATCAAGATTATATTAATTCAAAAAAAATTAATTCCAAAAAAGGTGATTGCGCAGATCTAACCTACAAAAAGACAAAGAAAACAAAAGAGAAATCGGTCCTATAACATCAAAGTTATTATATGTGTCTAAGCCTATAACTATATCATTCCATATAAACAATCTTATCAATGATATTTGATCTTATACTCTTCTCATCTATATTGTTACCAAAGATTTTATTGTTTCTAAAGTTTCAAAATCCATATATAATGTCAGTTACAACAAGTTTGAGTAATGTTTCCCTTCAAGCCTTCCTCTTCTCCTGTTACATCAGCCATTGCAACTCACAATTCCAGAGTTGCAACACATGGAGCACACAAATTCAGTCGAGCACACCCCTCTAGATTTCCTTAATAACTGCACAGTCAAACAAAATATGGTCCACCATTTCATGTGCAGTACAGAACCATCAATTTTTGTTCTCCACCATGCCATATCTCGACTATCTATCCTTTGTAGCAAGTCTTTTATGGCAAGATAGCCAAAGAGTCATGTTGGCTCTTGGTCTTGCAGCATTACAGTAGTGTAAACTTCTCCAAGACATTATATTTGTATCATCTCTCAGAGCATTATAAAAGCTTTTCATATGGAATCTCTTTCTATCTATCATCACATCCCACTTGTTCTGAGACTTTGTAATGTCATCTATATGACTCATCACAACCTTCGTGATCCAAGATTTATCATTCTTAATAGTCATCTTCATCACATCATTGTTTTTTAAGTAGTAGGTGTGCACTCATCGGACTCACAGACTGTCAGCTTTCCTACACAAATTCCACAACAATTTTAATATAGATACTTTATTCTAAATGTCCAGATCAACAATGTTCGAACCTCTGTGCTTAACTGGTCTACAAACATTCTTCAATGCAACCGAGCTTTTTCTGCTAATATTCACACTAATAGTCCACAGAAACGATTTACATATAGAGTTTATTTTCTTGATCACAAATTTAGGCACGGGAAAGCACTACATCCAGTAATTAGTAATTGCAAAGGTGACTCTTAAAAAATTTCAATCTTCCAGCATAGCTAAGGAGCTTAATACTCTAATGCTTAATCTTCTCAACAATTTTGTCTACAAGAATCATATAGTGGTTGATCGATAATATCTTGCAAGTCAGAGGCACTCCAAGATTTTTAAAAAGATTTAAATGCACTTTTAATTCTTCTATTTTGATTTTTAAGACATTTTAGTTCCCATTTAAAAAAACCAAATTTTTTATCCTCAATTATCATATTTCTTGTTTTTTTTGTTGATCCCCCTTTACATGATAGGTCAATTTATGACATGGCAAATAGCATGCATACCACATAGTAAAATTTGATGCCACATAGTCATAATAATAATTATATTTCATAATAATAATAATAATTAATCAATTGAAATTATATTAAATAAATATATTTTATAATGATGACAATAATAACTTATGATTATTAAAAATAATATAATTCAATTAATAATTTCAAGAGTTTATTGGTCGTGCACGGTCAGTGTAAACTAATATTACATATACATTTTAGTTGGATATACAATTGTGATTGATTGATAGTAGGGCTGGAAATGAGTCTTGTTGAGTAGAACTCGCTTCAGCTCAGTTCTACTCGTTAAGAATTAACCGAGTTCGAATTCATCATGAACTTTTTTTAGTTCAAATTCAACTCGTTAAGAATTAGCTGAATTCAAGTTCATCACGAACTTTTTTTTCAGCTCAAACTCGACTTGTTAGAACAATCTTATTTAAAACAATTTTATTTATTCTTATTATATTCACAAAAATTATAGACAATATTTCTAACTTTCATTTAATATAAGTTTCATCTCAAAATAATATTTGTAATTAATAAATAATGAAATGTTATAACTTAAATTTGTAACATATATTTTACTACGTTGAATTTAGATTTTTTTTAATCAATAGAAT